GTGACCATAAAGCAAATATGGAAGGCCAGCAAGAATAGTTCATAAGCTGTTTGTGGGTATTTATGTAATTGCCAAGATAGCAATTAAAAAAAAATATAACTGTCTAGTTGAGCTAAAAGAGCAGAAGTTTCCTCTGCAGTTCTGAGTTAATACAACACTCTCTTTCCTTAGTTTTAGTCACTTGCCTTAGGAGAAGATAGAATTTCGGGGTTTCTGGATTGGTTCAGATGCTCTCGCTTTGACCATGGCTACTTCCATATTCTTTTCGTGGGACAACTTGCTGTGTTTTGGGTATAGGTGGGTAGGTGACCCTAAGGAGGTGAGCCATGCCAAATAAGTGAAGATTATCTAAGGTTGTGATTGCTTAAACTATCAAGTAATGATTTTTATTTCACATAAATCCTCCATTTTCATCATTTCCTTCCTTTTAGCCAAGAAAATTTTATGAGTTTTATTGTAATTGAAAAACTCAATTACTGTACCTCTTCTATTTTCTTAGGAGAAGTCTCGTTTTTATTACTTTTGAATTCTTGATTTATCTTTATTCTGGCTGATAGAGAGAGAAAATATATACACAGTTATTTGCTTTTCTAATCTATAATTCCTATCTCAATAATTTATATGTTGTTCATTATATTACTCTGTATGAATAACTACTTCTCTAGAATAGGAAACGGTTTTGTCCCCATAAAAAATGAAACAAAGCATAAGAATAAGAAATCTCTTGGAGAGCTTTTGACAGGCCACCAAATTTGTAAGTAAACCTACTATAAACCTTTGACCTTTGGTACTCTAAGTTTTTTTCCCCTTTTACTTCCAACTTCATTTGTGTACCTATAACTATTGGATTTCAACAAATCCAATTTAATGCTTTATTTCTATACATCTAAGGATTTCGATTAAAATGTCTTTCTTTTTTTTTTAAGGCAGAGTCTCACATTGTTGCCCAGACTATAGTGCAGTGGCATCATAGCTCACTACAACCTCCAAGTCCTGGGCTCAATTGATCCTCCCACCTCAGCCTCCCGAGTTGCTGGAACTACAGGCACGTGCCACCACACCTGGCTAATTTTTGTTTTTTTCATTTTTTGTAGAGATGGGGTATTGCTCTGTTGCCCAAGCTGGTC